GGCTCCCATCGCACCCCCATCCCGGCTCCTATTGCGCCCCATCCCATCCCGGCTCCCATTGCGCCCCATCCCGTCCCAGCTCCCATTGCGCCCCATCCCATCCCAGCTCCCATTGCGCCCCATCCCATCCCGGCTCCCATCACGCCCCGTCCCGCGCCGGCCGCCCGCTCAGCCGCTCCCGCCCCGCAGGGATGCTCGTCCACGGCCTCTCGCGCCTCTGCTCGGCGGCGCGGCAGCCCTGCGCGGAGCTGCGGCGCGAGGTCCACATGCACCGCGCCTACGTGGCCCAGTCCGTCCACCTCTTCATCCTCTACTTCTTCAACATGGCTGTGCTGGCCACCTACCTGCCGCAGGAGGCCCTCAAGCTCGTCCCGCTGCTCACGGGGCTCTTCGCCATCTCCCGGTAAGCGGCTCCTCGCCCTCCGCACGGCAGCCTCGTCTCCCTCCCCCGGAGGTTCCCAGAGGGACGGACCTGGGTCTGGCGATCCCAGGGAATTCCCTGCGCTGGGAATACCCCTTGGCACAGCGGGAGCAGGGGTCACGTCCCGACGTGCCTCCCGCCTCCAGCCTCGTCTACTGGCTGCTCTACGCCGTGGGCCGCTCCTTCCGCGCCTTCGGCTTCGGCCTGACCTTCGTGCCGCTGCTGGCCATGCTGCTCTGCAACCTGTACGGGATGTTCGTGCTGGAGCCCGACAACCTGCTGGCCGTGGCGGGCGCCAGGGCCGCGGGCCCCGCCAAGGACGGCGCCAGGCTCCGCTTCTGGGGCTGAGGGGGCTCTGCGGCGGCCCCACGACGGGCCCTGCAGGCAGACGGGGCCGGGACGGGGCCCGGCACCTTCCCGCTGCAGGGCGGGTGGAACCCGGCGCAGCCGGACCCGCCGCAGGGACGGGGAGCAGGAGGGGAGCGAAGGTCCCTCGGGAGCTGCCTGTGTCCAATAAACATTCCCGCTGCGGCCGCCGCTACGAGCACACGCAGCTTTGATCCCACATCCAGCCCCAGGCCGCTTCCAAGGTGGGCGAGAGGAGCTGATGCTGCCCACGGCACCGGCCCCGCTCCTCCAAACCTCCAAACCGGTCACCTCCAAACCGGGGAGCGCTGACGGGGAGGGAGCAGGCAGAGGGCTCGCTGGCCGGGAGCAGGACCCGTGGCCGGAGCGGATCCCGTGGCCGGCCGCACATCCCGGCTCTGCCCCCCGGGCCGGAGGAACCTCCCGCTCCGTCCCAGGAGGGCGGCAGCCTCCCTGGGCCTGGTGCCCAGGAAAAGGGAACTGGCTCCTTCCCGGCTGCCACTTCCTTTAACAGCGGCGACTGCTCCCCCAGCGCCATGCTCCCACAGGAAACCGCTCCTAGAAATCCCTTTTATTTGGTCCAAGACCTTCAGTGGTTGAGAAGCCCCAAAGCCAGCGTGTCCCGAGGCGCCGAGCGGCTCCCGGCACGGAGCCCATGGGCACCCAGCCCCGCTCCGTGCTGCAGCCCCGCGCGGGAGGCCAGCAGTGGTTCAGTCCCTCGGGACAGCGGAAACAAAACCCTTTCCCTCCGTGCAGAGCAGTCCCCAGCTCCTCCAGTCACTTCCCAGCGAGCAAGTAAGGAAAAGAGGGAGAAGAGGGACCCGCTCCAGGCTCCGGACAGCAGGAGGGAGCGGGACAGAGGGCTGTGACGCAGGTGACAGCAGTGAGCGTTGCTCCGGTCCCCTCCAAGGGTGACGTAAAGGGGGCAGAGTCCGAGGTGCAGGTGCAGGAGCCCCGTGTTCCCGTGTCCCGGCCGGCAGCCCCGCTCAGTTGATGGGCTCGTACTCGGAGTAGCGCCGGCGCCGGGCGAGCAGGACGGCGAGGCCGCCCAGCAGCAGCAGCGCCGCGGGGGTGCCCAGCGCCACGGCCACGATGGCCACCACGAGGGGCGAGAAGGAGTCCGCGGGCGGCTGCCCGAAGCCCAGCAGCGCCGACCTGCGGGAACGGCGGGATGCGGCGCGTGGGGACACGGAGCGCGGGGAGACACGGAGCGCGGGGGGACACGGAGCGCGGGGGGACGGCTCGGTCCCCGCGCCCTCACCAGCTCAGGTAGCGCTTCTCCTGGTAGACGTCGCCGTCCTCGCCGCCGAAGGAGATGTTGAGGGCGCTGACGGAGCAGGCGCCGGCCGGGCGGTCGCCGAAGTAGCCGCGGACGATGGCGGAGGGCGGCAGGGAGCAGTTGGCCGCGTGCAGCTCGTGCGCCCGGCACCGGATGCCGTCCTCGCGCCGCGGGCTCCGCGAGCCGTAGGCCGTTGCCTTCCACTGCAGGAAGCTGAGGACGGCGCCGGGCGCCTCGGCGGCCAGCGACAGCGTCTGGGAGCGGGAGGGGAGCCTCGCGGAGCCGCAGGGCGCCCGGGCCCCACCAGGAGCAGCGGGTGCTCGCGGCCGGGCGCCGCGCTCGCCCCGCGCGCACCTCGAAGATGGTGGGGGTGTATTCGTCGTCGATGGAGCGCGCGGAGCGCAGCCGCCGCGCCGCCCCGGCCTCCTCCACCGTGGCCACCTCCAGCACGAAGCGGGAGCCGTTGCCGCGCGGCGCCACCCCGGCCAGCACGAACTCCACCTTGGAGCTGTTGGCCGTGTGCAGGAGCCGCGGCAGGGCCCCGTCGCGGCCGTCGGCCTCGTAGGCTGTCACCTGGGGGGACACGGGCAGAGCGGCGGGCGCTGGGACGCCGGGATCCCCCGCGTCCCTCTGGGACGTCGGCCGGGACAGGGGGCTGCGCGCCGCCGAGCGCAGCGAGACCCCCGGGACGTACCCGGAAGGCCAGGCTGCCGTTGGCGAAGCCACCACCGGGCTCCCCGGCGGGGCCGCCCCGGAACTCGGCCGTGAGTGCCGTGCGGTTCAGGGTGCCGTTGACGCTGCCCCACGAGAAGCGGGACAGGTCGTAGGGCGGGTAGAAAAGCTCCGCGGCGGCGCCGCCGGCCTCGCGGGACTCAAACACCTGGCGGGGCGGGAGAAGGGGGTGTCACGGAACGAGCGGGGGCGGCGCTGGCCGGCCCGGACGCCTCGGCGTGGCCGCGACCTTGGTGAAGACGACGGCGCTGGCGTGCAGGACGCTGTCGCGGGGCTCGATCCAGACGGCGCCGGCGGGCGCGGGCGAGAGCAGGCGGCGCCAGTCGAGGCGCAGGGCGCTGCGCGGGGAGCGCGTGGCCACGAGCAGCGCGCCCGGGGCGCCCACGCTGCTCC